TATTCATTAAACATGAAAGTCCGTCAACTTGAGCATTTAAAAATGTATCACAAATATCACTGACTAGTGCTGATGGTTGATATGGATTGCTGCCATTACTATTATTACTATTATTATTATGGCATTGAACTTGCCATCAACTCTCACACAAACGGTTGCATTTGTTTTCAAGCCGTTTGGAGTTGAAAAAGCGTGGTGGAAAGTCTCCCTATCCGTTTTGGCCATTCAATGATTCCTTTATAATTTTAGCCGGAGGGAAGGTGGGAGACAAAAGCAACCCCCCCGCTGGCTGCCTTAAAGCTTACACAAGCTTTTTGTCACATTTTACCCGCTCAACACCTGGGAATCTCGCCGATTCCCGCCACGCTGGCCGTATTCTGCAGCCGGAAGTACAAACTAGCGCCTTATTCGGCGAGGCTAAGGGGGGCAGGCAGGCCGCGGCCGTCAGCGGCGGAGAGATAGGCGGCAGCACACTTACCACATTGAGAAAACTCAGGTATTTCCAATGACTGCCCACAAACGGGTTGAACTTCCCTTCGGCTATGCGGGATTCGTCCACGTTGGCCACGAAGTAGGAGCAGGCATAGAAAAAAAACGTATACCAAGCGAAAACGACGCCGTAGTAGACAAGGCGGGCAGAGGGGTGCATAGTGCGGCTGGTAGCGGGCGGGCCCGGTGAGCAATTCTTTCCCCTTCTCAGGTCTTCAGCAGACGCGCACCGCACCGCCTCTCTCGCTGCAAGAGCGCCGTCGGCTACAGCGAGGACTTCGGGTGGCTCCGCACAAACCGTGCCGGCTGACACTTGCGACAGCCTCGGCCAGTAAGCTCCCCCCACCCTTTTCCCCGCCCGATGTTTGCAGTTTGGTAACGCTCCCACGATTCAGTTATGCAAGACAGAAAAAATATCTATATACCGGCCTTTGATTTTGTTTTATTACGAAAGGTAGGGCGAGTTTGCATAACTCGATACATGCATAAACAAAGTAGTTATGGAGGTCACTTTCATCCAAGAGAGAAAAGACAAACCAATTGCTTATCAAAGAGATTGCCCCAGAAATGTTTGAACGCCGTTGCACCATCTTTGAGATAGAAAGATAAAAGTTCATACTGTTCGATCTCCGCCTCCTCTCCATGATAAAGGTAACGAAGAAGAACCAGAGTATTAAACCCTACCTGTTGCAGGTCTTTTTAAAATTACTTTTATATATTTTGCAGAATTTGATGCTTTGATTTGCACCGGGGTGCATTTTCCAATGGTTAAATCCTAGCCAATATGTTAAAAGTGTGTTGTGAGGGAGAAGATGTGGAGCAATCATGAGAAATCAATGGCTTTTGTTTACAAATCTAATATTAACACATTTTCACACCTGAGCAGATGCAATCAACAAGGGATAAAGGAAAGGGACGAAGACTATAGATATTAGAGGTTACTGCTCTCAGTAATAGAAGTATTGCTTCCATGCAGGATTAAAAAAAAGACCATTACTTTTCCTGTGTTGCATGATTTCTAACAGAATGGAATAAAAATACTCAGTTACTGGTAGAAATGGATACCAAATGATCCAGAAAATACCTTTGCATAGCATATGAGAAATATATCCAGATTTCCAAATCTGGAGTTTCCATTCTGTTTGTATAATGCCTTTTTGCCATCTAATCTATGCAAAGCACCCCACAGAAATATTACTGTGTCTTCTGCATTAGAAGTGTTTTTGAGAGTGGCTTATTAGCACGACATTTGATTCCTGGTGGCATTTTAAAAGTTCCAGTTTAAAGGTTTTCTAGTCAGGGCCAGAAAATTACTGATGACACCATGCGAGCTTTCCATCTCTTTGGAAATGCCTTAAGAAGTTTAATAATACCCTGAATTGTGAGCGCCAAGTTATAGGTAATGTTTGTAGTAATACATGTACTGTATTCAAAGGCTATAACTGAACCAATTCTCTTCCCAAGCAGAAAGTATGACTCAGCAGAAAGTATCATTCTTGCCAATGAAGCACACAGCGGAGCTTCATTCTGTGTATTTGGGCTTTTCTTCTAATAAATGTGTTTAGATTAAAAACTTAAAGCACGATCTAAACTTGATAATATAAGATTGCAGTCTTCTTAAACACTGCAGCCTTGGAGATTTCTTTTTGAGCCAGGTTGCTGTTTTACAGTCTGTTCTTCATCTCAAGTAGTAATAAAGAAGTGAGGGTGTGTCTCTTTCCTAAAGATTAATATGCATCATGGGTTCCCCAGAGGTCAGGCTGAGGAAGCATGGGATTGATTTGAAAGTTGCAGTCTTTAAAAAGAGAATGATTATGCAAATAGTATGCATCTGGAAAATCTACACATGGCATCTTTATGTTAGAGAAAGATGAGCCTCTGCTGCTGAAAACATAATTTATTGGAAGTAACCTGTACTGTGTGCACTTGGTTTGAGAACTAAATCTACTTCAATCACCTCTTGAGGCAATAGACAGAGGGAACCTGCTTGAACCCTCTCAAAGAGATGTGGTGTAACACACTGTTGGCAATTCCATTCTAATTTGCAGTAATACTTGGCAATTATGCTTTAATGCCCTGGCAATTCTAATTTGTGACAATTATGCCTTGCCTTAGAGTTCTCTAAAACTAAGCAATAAGGAGTTCTTTGTATGATAATTTTTCATATTCCTAAATATAATTACTTGAGTTAAAAATGTAATCAACATTTCTTGGAAAGTTTTATGGTATAATACAGAATTCTATCAATTTCAGCAGCACCACTGTGGCTTGCTAGGCTGGAGGTTAGCGAGCCCAGATTCAAGACCCAAATGCTGCCATGGGTGGGGTGAGCTCCCATCCTTTGATCTAGCTCCTGCCAGGGACATGAAAAAAGCCCCCAACTGGGGATCCCCAGACAGATAGCACAAGTTTTAAAAGATAATCAGAGTTGGAAGGGACCTGGTAGGTCATCTAGTCCAACCCCCTGCCCAAGCGGGAGACCCTACACCATTTCTGATAAACGGCAGTCCAATCTCTTCTTGAAAGTCTCAAGTGATGGCGCTCCCACAACTTCCGAGGGCAAGCTGTTACATTGGTTGATCGTTCTCACTGTCAGAAAGTTTCTCCTTATTTCCAGGTTAAATCTCTCCTTGTTCAGTTTCCATCCATTGTTCCTTGGTGATGTTATCGGCTACTCCTTCCAAACCAGAAATGTCTCTGTACTCCTGACAGGGTTGTGATGTGATTCAGTTTCAGTTTTTTAATTGACTTTCTAGACTTACCTTCAGTTATACATTGATTAACAACTTCCTTTTAATAAATACATTTTGTAAGTAATTCAAAGTACTTACTAAAAAAAATTCTGGATCATTTGTCCGTTTACTATATAATCTGGAATAGTAATTCACAAATTGTTGCATCATCACTTTCATTGTAGAAACATGTTTGGTTCTCTCCCAGATGAAGTAATAATGCTTTGATCTCATTCCTTTAGCAGTTAGTATTGTAGGCCAGCAATTTATCTGATTTGTTGCCTTTTTCAGAATATTTTTCTTATAAAATTAAATTTCCTATAGTCGCTTACCTCTAATAAATCTAGCTGTCTCCATGTTGCTTTTATCCTTTTTTCTAACTTGGGTTAAGTATTTATTTACTCTATTTATATGGCTACCTATCTCGAACATATGACTCTAGGTGGCTAATAGCAAACAAAAACACGATAAAAACATCATTAAAAAAACAGATACAGGAGCTGAGATAAACCCAATCAATATAATCAAGATACAGACTCAAGCATGCAATCCAGGTCCCAAGTTCAGCAATAAAACTAGACTCCAAAGGTTTTGCAAAAAGCCAGGGAAATGATGTTGTAGAGCAGGAGTCTCCAACCTTGGGAACTTTAAGCCTGGCGGACTTCAACTCCCAGAATTCCCCAGCCAGCAGCTGGCTGCGGAATTCTGGGAGTTGAAGTCCACCAGGCTTAAAGTTCCCAAGGTTGGAGACTCCTGCTCTAGAGTGTGGGAACCACAACAAAGGAGGCTGTCTGGGCACCTGTCAAGTAATCCTCCCTAGCAGATAGGACGTAGACGGTGCCTCTCCTGTTGGATTGCACAGAATGGGCAGGTACAGCTGAGAAGAAATAGTCCCACAAGTAATCTGGTCCCCCTACTATGAAGGGCTTTATAGATCACTGCCAACTACTTGAATTGAACCTAGATGGCTTGATTCTAATTGTTTCATATTATTTAGTAATAAAGCCTTTATTGTTCCATGGCTTTCTTTCTATTTGAATCTACAAAAAAAAAAAAAAAACTCAGACAAATGATGACATACTAATATTAGGACTTTAAAAGATTTGGGAAAAATTCTATTTCTTGGTAACACTTTAGTTTAATATCGTCTTATAGTAATAATTCACTAAGTTTGTTTCCATTCATACGGAAAGATCATCTGTTTGGTCTTACAATTTTGGATTTAAAATCCACATACGTCAAAGCTGCCACTTCCATATCTATGAAGTTAATAAACAATGATTCTCACTGGCTCCAGGTTGATTCAGCCTTCCATCCTTCCGAGGTTGGTAAAATGAGGACCCAGATTATTGGGCAGAATATGCTTAAAGAGGGTTGTAAATTACTGTGAAGCAGAAGTCTAAGTGCTATTGCTATTTAGAACTCTTAACAGTTGCCTACCATCTACCTTCATAAAGTTTAGGAGTAAAGTTTAGGAATAATAGTTATACAGGTAGTCCTTGTATGTAAGGTGTTACGGGATGCAAAGGAAAGAAGAAGATTGGGTCTACCTGATTTGAAACTGTACTTTGAAGTTCACTGTTTGTTTTAGATGAAAGAATGGGTGCTGCTGAGAAATAGAAAGCTCTTGGGGTTAGAAGGACATGATTGACAAGAGGTCTGTTTCCCAGGCTTCAATAATTTCCATGGCTGTTTTTGTACTTGCTCAATCAACAATCTTAGTAACTGCAAAACTGTCCTTATTTATTGCAATGTGAGGCTACCAATAAGCTCGGGTCTCCTCATCTGACCACTCTTTTAAGTTCTTGCAAACTGGTGATTAGCTTTCTCCTCCTCTGTCTTACACAGTCACAGGGGCAATCTGTACAGGGGATCCAGTAGATTACATTAGAAGTATTTCCCACCACAAAGCGATCCTTGCAATGCATTATTTGTCCCCATAGTCAACAGAAGTGATGATTTATCCAGGTATTTGGGAGCCTAGAATTGGCAGCACAACAGCCAACACCTTAATAACCAGCCATCAACACCCCAGTCAAGAATTAAAAAGCCATAGACAATCATGTACAACATAAATAGGATACATAGAATAGCCCAAAGCATACATTCTGGTGAGAGAAAAATTCCCTGAGGATGAGTTCCAGCACAAGTCCAAAAGCTTGGAAGACTACACCTCTTCTTCCGGTGACCAACCCAAATCGGATCCTGCAACATTATTCTGGGAAATGTATATTTGCCTTCTTTCAAAGGGGATTATAAAATAGAAGAACTAATAGCAGAGGGATATAATTGTCTATGGTTTTCTTATTTAGAGTTATTAGATTTAAAGTAGACAAAAGAGTTTAAGATTTTGAACATTGTAAGACGGTTTAAAATACGAATGTACAAATGATGAACATGGTAGTGCTAAAATATATCTCAAAAAGTTTACTGAAGTTTAAAACAAGAAGAATAAATGAAAGAATGTATGATAAAGTGGGCTAAAAATATTGGTTATAATATACAGATAGAACTATTGGACGTGTGTTTTGTAGTGGACGTTTCCACCATGTTGATGCGGCATTTGAGTACTCCAGCCGGCCTGTCGCGTGGGCCTGTCGACCAGATGACATCCCTGCCGACTTCTGGAAAAAGGCACTACC